CCCCAAAACCCCAAAACCCCAAAACCCCAAAACCCCGCTATTTTTTGGGCTTTTTGAAAGCGTTTTTTATTATTTTGTATGACATTTTTGGAAATAATAGATGTTTGTTATGGGGAAATTGGCTTAGTATTTTGAGATATGTTCTCTTAACCAGATTGTGGAAATTGCAGTTCATTATTGTAAAGTTCATACATATTATTCCAAATATCTCTTGTGTAGATCTTCTCAATTAAACCTTATGCTCTGTATGTACTGTTTATTTGTAGCATAAAGGTACTTGAAAGACCCTTCCTCTGAATTTATTTATGAATATAGTGGTAGGATATAGGAAGAAATTTAAGGGAGAGGGATTACAAAAAATTTGAAACTACATCAAATCATCTGACCAAGTTTGCCTTGATTTTGTTGATCACCCATGTGTCAGAGAAGCTATAAAATTACCAATACTCTTTAGTGAAACGGATTTGAAGCTTTCTCCAATTCTTTTATGTTCCCAGAATAGTGAAATACTTACTCAGAATGTGGCTAAAGATTTCACATCAGAAAATTCACAAAACTTATTACAAGATGTTGAAGAGAGCCTGACTATCATCAATTTCTGAAATAAAAGACACATAGAAGTGATGATATATTTGAAAATATTGATTCGTCAACAAGCAAGCTTGATAATTCATGAAATTTCCGATACGGGGGATTAAATAAATTAGGTCCTTCAATTGGTATTAAGAAAACCAATCTAGATGAAGATTTTTGAGACTTTTCAGACTCATCTGATGATAGGAAAACTCCCAGCAATATGGATTTCTTAGACTATCAGTCAAGGCCCTCAGACTTACAAAAGATTCAAAGGTACAAGCATTCAGTCAAATATGTTGCTACTAAAGGACCAACAAGATCACAGAGATGGATTCACTGTAAGCATGGAACTTGCTCCAAGAAGTTCAGGAAGTCTTGGAATTTCATCCAGCATGCTAAAATTCACTTAGGAATTAAGCCTTATCAGTGCTCAAGATGCTCCAAGAGATTCACGCAAAAAACCAACTTGTCTAAGCATCTTCGCAGGGAAATTTGCTAACCTTAAATAATTGTGATAATATCGTTTCTTCCAATTCTGTTTGTCTTAAAGCTTCTCTTCAGAAGCTTTAGCCCATTTATATGAATTGAAATAAATTCTTCGAGATATAAGCCCTCATAGTCAATTTTTAGGTCTAAAAGCTATATTTCAATTGAGAGTATAAAGAAAATTGATCATAAAATTTCTTCCATTTTGCTTTGAAATTTCTTCATTCATTCTGAGTATTAAAATGATTTTAACAGGAAAGTTAAATGCGGACAACCAAAAATTCAAAATAGAAATGAAAGGTTTATATTTAAGCTCTATTTAAATATCAGAGCTCTATTTTATACCTTCTAAAGGATGCAGTATACTAAGGAGCGCAGATTCTACTTTTACTTGTCACACTCGATGAAATACCTCTAAACTCCATTAAGTCTGATGCTCCATTATTAGAAAGTTGGTGTTTGAGATTGTAGCTTTGTTCAAATTACCTAAGCTGTCTCAGTCAGAGTAAGGCAAAGCTTCACATCCTTAGAATAAAATAAAAGATCCCATGCTTACTTTTATAACACCCTACTCAAATGAAGAATCGAGTAAGCTCCATCTTCATATTTGTGATAATTTTTGATAAAACAAAGCCTTGATCGCTTGGGTTGGTGATATCAAAAATTAGAAAAAACTGGAGCCTATCTCTTCATTATTTGATCCTTTAATTCCTCATAGAGGCTAAAATAGATCAATAACTTTTCAGAGAATTAGGAATAAAACTACTTTGTTTAAAATTTAAAGCTATTAAAGGATAAATTGAGAATCTCTGTTGAAAAATGAGTTCATAAAAGTGTTTATAGGTCCATTAAATTATTACACTATAAATGTTATCAAGAGGTGCTAAAACCTAGGGAGTCCCAACAATAGTAACAAAGATGACAAATATCTGTCGGGTTGTCGATGAAGAATCTGCTATTTAAACTTCATTTAAAAAAATAGCTCTGACTAAGATTTCACTAGCAAAATACTGAAGACACACTCTTTGGCTTATGATGTTGCATTTGCTGAATTTATGCAAATATGAGGCTTCTATATGGTCTCTGAGAGAATTTCAACATGCTGATACCATTTTAAAGACCGCCTGAAGTTTTAACACTCTGTTTCAACAAGATGAATCTAATATGGGGTTTTGGGGTTTTGGGGTTTTGGGG